TAGCATACAATGTCGGACTTGAACAACTTATAGAACTAACAAAAATATTGTACGAATCAAACTGATTTTCTTCTTTTAGTTCTCTCATCTTCAGTCGCCTATCAAAGTCCATAAGACAGATGATGCTTTTATACTCATATGTGTTGATGTAACTGCTATCTTCGTATAGGAAAATTCATTATCAACAGCTTATTGTTTCTCGAGAGTAACTCCTTCTCAAAAATTTGTAGCCTCCTGCGTACGTTTTCGTCATACCGTACACTACCACTGGTGCAGTTAATTGATGATGCTGGCTAATTAATGAGCTGGGTGTAGGCATAAGCATGTGGTCAAACAAGATGGTCCAAACTCAAAGAAGAGCTCATGACCTCACCTGTGCTCTATGTACACAAGCAGATTCGACGAAGTGATAACATGGGAGCAGATGTTGGGCATGAGCTCGGTGGATGGGGTCATCTCATGCTCTACGCCCCCACCTCAAGCAGTTTACTATACGTAAAAGAAGAGCTAATGTACACCTACATATTCATCATCTTCCTTTCGGTCCTCAGCTGCAGCCATTCTAGATTGATCGAAGGAGATTTAAAGGTGGGTAGTAACCTCCAATGAAAGTCACATATTGTTTTTGCTAGTCTTTGTTTTAGGTCAATCCTCTAGCATTAAATGACTTACTATCCCAAATAGCTGACAGCTCCATGGATGAAATGAGATTTCGACTACGACAAGCAATCTACAGCATTGCTTTCAAGAAAGTTTGTATTCAATTATGCTGTCAGCTCAAAGTCATAAAAATCATTTTCTCTTTTGCTAAAAAGAAAATATTCATATCAACTTGCTTTTTTCAAATATAGGCTAACAGATTTGAGATCGGTATGGTGTCCCTGGAGTGCGGGCTCGACAACATTTGCGCGTAAACGGATTTCAAGGGCGCGAAACTTGAAATATGCGGTTTGCAGCTATTTTACACACGCAATTTGCCGACAATGCAACCTTAGCAAATGCCTCACGATTTTGTCGACAAATTCCGCACCGCAGGAACACTACATTCACAGATCTACCTAAATCCAGTATCATATGCCCATCTAAATAAATAAAAAATTCAGTATTCGCGCACCTTACTAGCGGAGATTGGGGGAGGAATCAACGACTACGAGGAATGGTTACTGGAACAGTTTATTGCCCAGCTAACAAGAGGTTCTGCGAACGGTGAGTCCATAAGTCCTATCGAGAATATCTTAGCCCAGTAATGGCAAGCATGATTGATGATGGGGTGGGCCTAATAAAAGGCCCCAAAAAAGTTCTTATAAAAACCGTGATAAGGTAATTTAATGCTGGGGTTTTAGAGTCAAATGAGAACATTGCCGGAGTTCCCGAATTTAGTGAAAATTTTCATGATGTTGATCTACCATTTCACATACAGGGTGTCCCAAAAAAAAATGTGAACACTGTTTGATCGTTAATAACTCTCATTCATGTCTTTCGCCGAGTTTTAGTCACCACTCTATAGAGCGAGGTATAATTTTGATTTACAGTATAGAGCAAACTATCAATCTCTCTTCACTGCTGTAGGATCGGTAGGAACTTTGCGAAGAATTCTTGGGAAATAAAATCGATTTTTGCCTCGGATGGGAAATCAAACAAGCCAGAAATTTTCGTACTGGATTAATCGAA